CGTGGACCATTCGCCACCCAGTGCTTCCCAGGGCTCTGGACAAGAGCACCCTGCACCAGGGCCAGTGCTGACTTCATGCGCTCTGGGGCCTTGTCTTCCCTTCCAGGATGTCCCTTACAAGAGAGCCCCCCCCCCACCTACAACAGAAGCCCACCTGCGGGGCCCAGCGCAGCATCCCAGCCCAACCCCTTCCCAAGGGCTCTTCCTCACCCCACAAAGCGGCAGAGGCGACTGCCCCGCTCTAACATTAATCTTGAGTGCTCTCCAAACCCCGGAGGTTAATTGCCAAGCAAACACTGCCTAATAAAGAAGTGTCTCTTTTCCCTACCAATATGACTGAGATTGGGACAGAATTTGCACCTTGAGGCCCAAAGATTGAAGCCCATCTGGTGTTTCTCCCTCCCCCTTCTTCACTAAACAGTTTCAGGCAGGAGATGGCCAGCTGGACTGAGGCCTCTGGAGATCCCTCCCCCCTTTTAAGGGCTGATGGGGGCCATCTGTGCCTGAACTCTGGGAATTGGGCAGGCAGTGCCCCGGGCCTCCAGGGGCCTCCAAGCTGTGAGGAAATTCTGCCAAGCTCCTAGCACCTCCTGTAGAGCCCCTGACACTAAAAATAACCCGCAATTCCCCTACCTTCCCCCACCTGCCTGAATCAGAGAGCAAGTGCCAGACAGTCTGATTTTCTATAATGCACCCTGGGAGATGCAGTTGCTGGTGCAGGAAAGAAGCTTCTGCTACTGATTTGGCGGCTCCTGGTAGTATCCAGACAATTCAGGCTGGGACACAGGAGAGATGGAAAGGGTGAGGAGCAGAAACCAGGAAAATTCCACCAGTTCCCTCCACGGATAGGAGGATTGTCAACAAATAGGGAAGGGGCCAAGAAGGGATCTCCCAATTCCACAGATACCAACTTCACCTTCCCACACAATTCTAGAGCCGTCACTAGGTCATATTAAACAATCTGTTACATAGAGGAGAAAGGGAAATAGGAGGATGGGAGACCTATGTGGGAAGGGGTCCTCAGGTACATTTTGAGGACTCTGATATGATGGCATCCCCACCTGCATAGTATAAGAGTATCCCAAAGACCCTCTCTTCCTCCTGAAACGAGTGAAATTGGAGTCCCTGGGTGGAGTGGGTGGGGTGGGGTGTTGTGGGTGAAGCAGCAAGTCTAGGTATTAGGGGGAAGGTATCAGTTTGCATAAGACCATTTTCCTGTGTTCTCCCTCACCTGAACTTTCCTCTCCGGCTTCTTCTCTCTATAGGTATGATGAAGCTATAACTCCAAGGAGATGGATTCAAAGAAGGATTAATCCATTTTCTTGAAGACCCGAGCCTCCTATGCTTATTTCTTCATTCATTTTTTTGTTCATTTCAAGGTGAGGGGAATACCTGTAGCTCCCAAAAAGAATTCACACTGGAAGGAGTCCCTCCAGAGAGATGGGTGAATGTTTGGGATACTCCATCATACCTCAAAATAAATCCAACAGATCGTGCAGAGTCCTTTATATCCATTATTAGTACTAAATGCTTTCCTGTATCAATGATTCTAAGAGCTTCATATATTTACATAGGTGAACCTTATGACTCTTTTTTATACTTTTATGTTTTTATTTATTTTTTATGTGGTGCTGAGGATTGAACCCAGTTCCTCACACGTTCTAGGCAAGTGCTCTACCACTGAGCCCCAACCCCAGCCCACTACTGTTGTTCAAGTAGGAACTATTATTTACTACTTTCATTTTGCAGCTAATGAAACTGAGGCATACAGATATCAGGTCTCTTGTCCAAAGTCTCATGCTCAGCAGTCTGAGTGAGTAAGGTTAAGCCAAGAAGTCGGGTTTAGAACCACAGGCTTAACATCATCCTGAAGGTATCTCAGGTAGGAGCCACAAAGTGTCCAAGGGTAGACGGACAGACAGGGAGAAGCGCATCATTGAGATGCTTCACATCCTGGTGGGTTAGGATGATGGCTGATGCTGGCCCCAGCCAGGCCAGAGCCACTGGAGGTGCCCAAGTGTTGCTCTGCCTTGAGTCCCTCTGATCCCTCTCCTTACAAGACACCTGGAGGCTCTCCTGAGAGCTGCCCTTGGAGCTCAGCTGACACGGGGCTTCTGAGAGGCAGTCTTCCAGTCCACCCTGTCTGCATGAGGTTAGCCACGCCCTGGATACAGGAGAGCTGATTTTCTCCAAAATCCACCTGTGAGGGTTAATTTTAGATGTTGATTTGACCTGGTTAATGAACTAGGACTGAGCCCATTACCAGCATTCAGGGTCTCCAGCTCACACATGGCCTGGTGTGAGACTTCTTAGCCTCTATAATTGTGTGAGCCAGTTCCCCAATAATTTCCCTCTCATCTATCAACTGATCAATTGATGACCAATCAATCGATAGATAGATCCTATTTGTTCTCTCTAGAGAACCCTGATACACCATCTTTATATTTTCAATGCTGTTTTGTGGGGTGTTTGTTTGTTTGTTGCTTTTTGTGTGGGTACTGAAGATTGAACCCAGGAGTGCTTTACCACTGAGCTACATCCCCAGCTCTTTTTTTTTATTATTTTTAGACAGAGTCTCACCAAGTTGCTTCGGGCCTCTGTAAATTGCTAAGGCTGACCTGGAACTCGCGATCCTCCTGCCTCAGCCTCCCAAATCTCTGGGATTACGGGTGTGGGCCACTGTACCAGCTCTAATGCAGTTTTGCTCTGAGCTGATCTTCTAAAATCCCCCCCCCCATATCATGTCCCTGCCTTCAAATCACCTAGTAACATCTGCAGAGTCAGTTTCCTGTCTGTGGGCATCTAGAGGACATGTTGAGGACATAAGATACACTCAGAAGATGCTGGAAAAGAGAAGGTGCTCACAGCATTAGCTGCTAGGAAAACTGGGGTTGCAGGAGAGGGTGAGGAGGAAACCTGGGAGTGTTCTCAAACAGGGGAAGCGGGGAGCTTAGAGCTGTGTTCAAAGTAATGCTCGCTGCAGTTACAGCTGTCGCTAATGCAGTGAGGTCGCTAGGCCACAGCCTTTAGCTCTGGTCCAATGAATGGCAAGGCAGGAGTGAACTGGATGCAAGAACTACAGACACTTGGGCAAAACTATGTGAGAGTGGAAATTGCCGGCGCTGCCCAAACAGATTCTCGCAAGGAGTAATTCCTTGAGAAAGCTTCACCCGTTGATCACATATAGAAAATGGGCGCATACTGCATGTCAAAGACAAGTCTAAGCCCAGAGATAGCAGACACCCTGCCAGCTTCACAGCCCAATGGGATGGGATGAGCCAACCCGAGAAAAGAAAAGAGCAGCCGGGTGGGGTTTTCCTGGGGAAGGCTCCACACGGGAATGGAAGGGCTGGGGACTCAAGCTCTGGGCACCGCCGCCCCATGAGGTTTGACTGCTCCAGATGCACTCACCCTGGGAGCCACCCAAAGGCAGGGAGGAAGGACTGCGGTCAGTGTCTGGTAACTGAGTTGGTCATTCATTTTTTTTTAAATATTTTTTAGTTGTTGATGGACCTTTATTTTATTTATTTGTGTGTGGTGCTGGGAATCGAACCCTGTGCCTCACACATGCTAGGCAGGCGTGCTACCACTGAGCCACGACCTCAGCCCCTCCAAGTGGGTCATTTTGCTCAAGTGTTTTCTGTGTCTTCTGAGGAACTACTGTCCCTCCACGACTAATCTGATATTGTCCCATATGACTTTCCCTGGACACATTCTGCTTCAGTCACACTGGTCTCTTTGCTTTTCCTTGAATGCACCAAGCACTGCCCTTTCCTCTGCCTAGACTATTCTTCCCCAAGATCTCGAAAGAACTTGCTCTCTTATTAGTTTCTGCCAAAATGTCACCTTATTAGAGAGGTGACCTGATCTCTCTGAACATCCCTATTCAATGCACGGTCCTCTGGGCACTCTTAGCCTCCAGATGCTCATCAGCACTTAATTTTGATATATCTACATATACACATGTGTGTGTCTACACTTGTGTGTGTGTGTGTGTGTTTCATCTATTGGATGCTAATAGGACACAAGTCCTATAAGAACAGACTGTGTTTGTTTATTGCTGTATCTCTGCCTCTAAAACAGTGCTGGGCACATATTAGGCACTCAAAATGCATATCAAATTGAATTATTTTCCCTTAGTCTTGACGATTCCCTCTCCTAATTTTTGAATGTTTGTGTTCTATGTTGGAACTTAAACCCCAGTGTGGTAGGATTAAGGGGGTGATGAAGTCATGCGGAAGAGCCTTCGTGAGTAGATTACTGTCTTTATAAAAGTCTCACAGGGGCAGTTCGCCTCTTCCCTCCCTTCTCACCTGTGGGATGCACAATGAGGCACCATCTTGGAAGCAGAGAGCATCACACACTAGGCACCCACCCTGCAGACATCTTGGTCTTGGACTTCCCAGCTTCCAGAATTGTGAGGAGTAACTGCCCAGTCTCAGGCATTTTGTTACAGCAGCACAAATGGACAAGACAGCTTCTGTGCCAGGCTTTGTGGAAAGTTTCTTCCATTTGTGCTGTTTGTCGATTTGTTTGTTTTCTAAACCTGTAAGAAAGCGGTGGAAGCTGCTATTCCATATGGCCTATCAAGTGATCAAGGGCCTCAAGAACCAGACTTCATCTCTGTTCCTGCCATGGCAGGTGTGAACCCCCACAACTGCACACCTGTCTCCCACTCAGTCTTGCCCCTGGGCCTCACCTGGTGCTGTGCTCCCCACCAAACATGAACTCCCTTCTAGTTACCCAAGTCCTGCTCAGATGCCAGGCTTCACCTCCGCCTTCTTCCCGCTTCTCTACCTGTTCTTTTCTTTTCTTTTTTTTTTTTTAGAGAGAGAGAGAGAGAGAGAATTTTAACATTTATTTTTTTTAGTTTTCAGCGGACACAACATCTTTGTATGTGGTGCTGAGGATCGAACCCGGGCCGCACGCATGCCAGGCAAGCGCGCTACCACTTGAGCCACATCCCCAGCCCTCTACCTGTTCTTTTCTGAGTCCTTGCATCTGCCCAACATTGCTTAGTACTCAAATCTTGGGCGAGTCTCCTCTTCCTAATCAGACCGTAGTTCTCTGGGGATAGAAAGCAGGTCTTCCACAGCCTCCACGTCTTCTGCACCCTCCGGCCGAGGAGCACCATGCAGGGAAACAGGGCTTCTGTCCTGATCCACTTGTCAAAAAATAAATTAAATGCTAGGGCAGTGAGAAACGTTTCCCCTTCTCGTTGATGAGACTCCTGCTACCTCCGTGCGGGTGTCTCTTCGATCACTGAGTGAGATAATAAAAAGCACAGTGAGGGGAAAGTCCAGATCCTGCTGCACACGTTGTCACCTACTCAAGAAGCATTGCTTTAGGGCCCAGCTCTGTGCTAGCCAGCCTAAACATAAACCCTAGAATCCCAGACCATGAGACAGAAGGAGCCACGGAGGCATCTGATCCCAGCCCTGACATTAACTGAGGCCCTGAGTTGCAGGCAACAGATGCTGGCGTGGACCTAACTCAGCAGGGACAGAACATAGTCAGGGGATACCAGAAGGCTGTGGAAGCAGGATGGGGAGCAAAGCCCAGCATCCAGCTAGAGCAGAGGGCAGGTGAGGGAACCGCTGCTCTCGTGGACATTGGATCTGGCTCATACCGCAGAAAGCAGCAGTGTCCACCTCCAGAGCATCTGCTGTGCTCCTCTTAGCTCAGGCTCTGACCAGTGGGCATGTTATTGGGGGAGTGTGGATCACCCACCCCTCCCCTGTCTGCAGAGGAGGGCAAGAAACCTGCACATTTCACATTCTTTGGTGAGATGTGTGCACAGCTTCTGACCCAAATTCTTTAGAAGGGAGAGTCCCCAAACAGAGGAAGGGGCTTATTATGGTTTGGATGTGAGGTATCCCCCAAAAGCTCATGTGTGAGACAATTCAAGAAGGTTTAGAGGAGAAATGATTGTGTGATGAGAGCCTTAACCCAATCAGTGAATTAATCTCTTGATAGGATTAACCGAGTGGGGACTGGAGATGGGAAGGGTGTGGCCGGAGGCAGTGGGTCCCTGGGGATGTACCTTTGGTATGTATCTCGGATCTGGTGAGTGGAGTCTCTCTCTACTTCCTCATTATCACATGAGTTGCTTTCTTCCATCAGGTCGTTCCGCTTCCCTTGGAGCCTGGAGGAATGGAACCAGCTGTCTATTTCTAAGCCCTCTGAAACCGAGAGCCCCTAAATCAACTTTCACTCCTCTGAAATTGTTCTCATCAGGTCTTTTAGTCACAACAGCAACAAAGCTGACTAAAACAGGGCTCAATGGCCAACGCTCCCTCCACCCCTCACAGCACGACACAGGCAACAGTGGTCGAAGAGACTGAGCAAATCCCCCCCGGCTAGGTCACATTGCAGATGACTAGGAGGTAGGATAAGGATCGGGTCTCCTGGCTCCATGACTCACCCTCTTTCCACTCAGGTGGGAAAGTTGGAAAGGCAAAGTAAAACACAACACAGGCAGTGAGTGGTCCATGATCCACATCTCTGGCAGCTATTTTAGGTAATAGCCGTCTTGGATTTGATCACAGCTCTGCTACCCCTCCCAAAAGTCTCAGTTCAGACATCTCCCCTCCAGGTACCTCTCCCAAGTCCCCGAGCTCCCTTGGCTCCATGATTGAGCGCTGTCACCAAACTTATCTATGTGGCAATTGTCAACATGTGTCTACCTCCTCGCCAGGGTATGAGCAGCTCAAGGACTGAAACGAGGTCTTGTTCACAGTTGGATCCTGAATGCAGAGGCATGGAAAGGGCGGAGTCTCTAGACAGATTCCTTCAAGGAAGCCACCTATGCCATTTTATGATTGGTGCCCTATGTATGTTCATCCCTAACCACTGTGCTTTCCTTCTGCCTCAAAAGGCCAGTTCAGGAGTCTGAGGCAGGAGGATCACAAATTCAAAGCCAGCCTCAGCACTCAGTGAGACACTGTCTCTAAATAAAATACAAAATAAAGCTGGGTATGTGGCTCAGTGGTTGAGTGCCCCCGAGTTCAATCCCAGGTAGGTATAAATAAATAAATAACTAGGACAGTTTCCAGGTCCTCTAAGGAGGGCAATTCTGCATGTGTGTGTGTGTGCACGTGTGTGTGTGTGTGTGTGTGTGTGTGTGTGTTTAATGGCTGGCATGGCACATGATATGTGTTCAGTCAATGGATTATTAAACTGGGCGGGGAGGGCAGATGTTGTTATCCTGTTTAACTGATGAGGAAGCTGAGGTCTACTGAGATACTACAAGTTTCTGAAATTGCAAGTCAGTGGTAGAGGCTGCTCTGGATCCAGTATTCCCTCCATAATGAAAACTGAGCCTATAGGTCCTGCACGCATGAGAGTCCACCTGCAGAGCTCCCATCGTGTATCTATGGCAGCCCCCCTGATATTTATTTCCTGGGTCGACACTACACCTGTCATTCATCTCCTGTTTCAAGGGTGCTTCAAATCACCCTCTCCAAATGTTTTCCAAAACAAGCCAGATACACATCACAAGTCTTAACTTGCAGATGCTGGCATTTAAGGTGGCTTCAAGTCACAAAGTCACAGTCAAGGACTCTTTCTAAAAGCAAATGACAGAGCTAGCAATGCAGGTGCAGAAGGCCAGGAGGCAGAGGCGGAAACCGGGCAGCCCCTGGCAGAACAGAAAGTGCAGGCAGGTGCCTGATGGCAGAGTCAGGCTCTTGGCACAGAGGTCTCTTGGAACGACAGGAACAGGCCTGCAGAGAAGCTGACTCAGCAAGTCAAATGTCATAGGAATGAGCTAAGAGCTCCCTGGGTGGGACATGTGGCCTTCCATTCACCTTGGAATAAAAATACTTTTAATAACTGAAAACCTGTTAAGTTCACTGTAATAGTCCCTAGTCTTCAAAAATCTACCTAACTTTGCACTGCCCCACACATGACCTTCTCTGCCTTCTCTGGAGCACTGATACAGTTTTTACCGTGCTTGAAGGATCCTTCCTTGTGTCCATCCGTGTGGGTTCTCACATCCTTCAAGATAAAGCTCAGATTCTGTCTCCTCCAGGAAGTGTCTCTGGTCACACCTTCATCCCTGCTGATGTCTCAGGGCAACGCTTGATTAGTTTTGTTCCCTTGTTCCTGTTTTATTCCATCCTATGCTACTTTCTGAACGTAGGACGTGTCCTCTAGACTGGAGTACAAGTCTTCCAATTGCTGTTTATGTCAGAAATGCACTCTTCCTCTACCATTTCCTGTATAATTCCTTGTACAATGTTGTATACATAACAAGTATTGCCTAAAGCCACCCATTGAAATAATGGCATCAATTTCTTTCCTTTTCTTTTCTTTGAGAGAGAGAGAATTTTTTTAATATTTATTTTTTTAGTTTTCAGTGGACACATCTTCATTTTTTTTTTTAATTTTTATATGGTGCTGAGGATCGAACCCAGCACCCTGCACATGCCAGGTGAGCACACTACCGCTTGAGCCACATCCCCAGCCCCAATGGCATCAATTTCTATAGCCTAAAATCTGTATCTGAACTCCATTTAAAATAATCTATTGATTGTTAGGAACCTCTTTTCAAAAACTCTGATCTTATTATCAAAGATATATATATATATACACATACACAAATATACACACATACACATATACACACACACACACACACATGCGGTCTGATGCCAGGTTTGCTCTGCCTGACATTCCTGGATATTTCTCCCTTGTCTGCATCTAGTTGCAAGCCTGGAAAAAATGAGATGCTCAGTTCCCCAGCAGACGTTGAAGTTGGGCACACACCCTACTTCTGGTGAGCAGGACTGAAGCAATGATCTGCTGTGTTGCCACCCTCCTTCCTCCTCTTGCTGCCTGGAATGCAGTATGACTCTGGAATTGCTGCATCTGGTAGCCAATGTGGCAAACAGGAAAAGGCCCCAGCACTCTCAGAGATGTGATGCTCCCTGATGTTGTCAAAATTTGCTGATCTAAAATCAGACTAACACGAAAACCAATAAAAACCATAGAACATTGAGGAAAGAAATCAAAGAAGATACAAGAAGATGGAAAAATCTTCCATGTTCATGGATAGGCAGAATTGAAATTGTTAAAATGGCCGTGGTACCAAAAGCAATATACAGGTTCAGTGCAATCCCTATCACAATACCAATGACATTCTTCGCAGAACTAGAACTATAGGCTCAAACTCATTTGGAGGAATAGCCAAAACAATTTTCTAAGATAAAAAAAAAAAACAATACTGGCAGCATTATAATCACTGAATTCAAATTATACTACAGAGCTATAGTTAAAAAACTGCATGATACTGGTATAAAAGCAGACACATAGACCAATGGTACAGAATAGAAGACATACAAACAGCCCACACAGATACCATGATCTGATACTTGACAAAGGTACCAAAAACATACACGGGAGAAAAGGTATATTTGTAACAAATGGTGCTGGGAAAACTGACTATCCATATGTAAAAGAATGAGACTAGATTGTTATCTCTCAGCCTTCACAAAAAAATTAACTCAAAATGGATCGAATACCTAGGAATTAGACCAGAAACTAGGCAACTCCTAGTAGAAAACTTAGAGTCAACCCTCCAGCATTTAGCACAGCCAACGACTTTCTCAATAGGGATCCTAACACCCATGAAATAATGCCGAGAGTTAATAATAGGATGGTATCAAATTAAAAAGCTTCTTCTCAGCAAAGGAACAATTAAGAATGAGAAGAGAGAACCTACAGAATGAGAGAAAATGTTTTCTAGCTACTCTGCTGACAGAAGATTGATATCTAGAAGACATAAAAATATCAAGTAATTTTACACTAAAAGTAACTAAATGACCCAATTAATAAATGGGCAAATGAATTAAACAGAACGTTCTCAAAAAAAGAAATACAAATGACCGACAAATATATGAAAAAATGTTCAATCTCATTAGCCAATTAGAGAAATGCAAATCAAAACTACATTGAGATTTGATCTCAGATACTGAGAATAAAAACAACAAGTGCTGGAGAGGATGTGGAGGAAAAAAAAAACCACTTTTACACTGTTCCTGGGATTGCAAATTAATACAACCACTGTGGAAATCTGTATGGAGTTTCCTCAAAAGACTAGGCATGGACCCAACTACACCACTCCTCAGTATTTACCCTAAAGAATTAAAGTCAGCATACTGCAGTGATATGTGCACACTGATGTTTATAGCAGCACAGTTCACAGTAGCCAATCTATAGAACCAGCCTAGGGGTCCATCAATAGATGATTGGATAAAGAAAATGTGGAATATAGACAAGTGGAGTATTTATACTCCATTGAGGAAATATGAAATAATGGCATTTGCAGAAAAATGAAGGGAGCTTGAGTCCATTGTGTTAAACAAAATAAGCCAAACTCTGAAGGTCAAGAGTTACATGCTTGCTGTCAAATGTGGAGACTAGAGAGAAACGAAAAGGAAAAGAAAGGTGTGGAGTTGGGGGTGGATCTCATGAAAATCAAAGGGAGATCAGTAGAATAGAGGAAAGGGATGGCTGGGTGGAGGGAGTCTTGGGGAGTGATATTGGCCAAGTTATATTATGTGCATGTACAAATATGTAACAAAAAAATCCACCATTATGTACAACATTTAAAATGTACCAACAAAAAATATGGAAAAATTAAGTAATAGGAAGATATTTGATTATAACTTCATTAACATGTCATATTGTACAAATATCTAAAAAACACAGAACTGTGCAATTACTTCAATATTCACAACAGGGGCTATATACCTGGTCTTTTATTTTTTTTTAATTCTTTAGAAATTTTTTTTTAGTTTTAGATGGATATAATATCTTTCTTTTATTTTTACATGGTGCCAGGGATTAACCCAGTGCCTCACCATGCTAGGCAAGCACCGTACCACTGAGCCACAACCCTGGCCCCTATACCTGGTCTTTTAAAAAATTAATTTTCTTAATTGACAAAAGAAAATTGTATATACTCATTCTATACAACTTTCTGTTTTGATGTGTATGTGAATGGATTGTGGGAATGAGAATGGAGCCAATTACACATACATTATGTCACATATCATTTTTTGTGTGTATGAAGGGAATACTTATAATCTAGTCTCTGAGCTATTGAACAGTGTTCAAAAATACACACAGTACTACTTACTG